TGATCCAGAGTGAAACCTGTGAACCGGTTTAGTGTTTTGTGGGTAGCGAATTCCATTTTTGCCAATTCTGCGTCCCAGTCTTTGTGTCGCTCTGTATGCGCTACAAGCATCAGTTTCAGGTTACGCTTCATTGCTTCCGTGATATTCACCTGTGAATGGTACGGAGAATACTGTTTGTGCCGTATCCCTAGCGCATTACACGCATCCACGAACACCTTGTTAACAAAATAAGAAGCATTGCCTATAATAAGCGTTGCGGCAAAGCCAAACGTTGGAACGTCTCGAGAAGACAATGCCAGATTTTCTTACAGTCCAGTTTGCGCAAAGGAAACATTCGGCCCACTTCGGGAAGTGATCGGTCACTACTAGGAAATATTGATTGCCGCGTGGACTACGCGAGAAGAGGCCGACAACGTCACAGGCAACACACTCCCAGGGGTACTTGCTTTCGAACGACTGCTTTAAACCTGGTGGTTGGCCGCCTCGGGGTTTCGCCTTCTGACAAACCGTGCAGCAACATGCGCACCTCAGTACATCCTGCCTCAGGCCTGGCCACGTTGCGATTCGGGATAACTTTTCGTAAGTTTTGCTCCGACCAATGTGGCCTACCAATACGGCATCACGCATATATCTTATAAATGACTTCCGCAATTTACGTGGTATTACAGTCCGGAATGGCGGGCCGCTGGAGCCATCGTCCGCCAGGGGGATGTACCGCAGCAGGATGCCGTCGCTGCTCAGCAGGTATGAATCCAAGTAGCAGTTTGTTACTTTCTGGTTGCTGTCTTTGGGAATTTTAGGGGTTGTGTACAACAGGAGGCTGCAAGGTCCGGGAACGAATTCCCTTTGTAGAGTGGTTGTAAGCGGAAGAAATTTTGTAAAGAGTGTCATTGTGTCCCCTTCTATGCTTCCTCTTCTCGGTTGGCTATTTATCTTTCTGTCCATTAAAATTCAGCTGTTTTTGAGAAGTTCGTGTTTGTGTCATCCTTCAGAAGGAGCTAATACAGGAAAGATGCACGTTGTTTAACCTAGGCCAGCTTGCACCCTCCTTTTTTGTTTCTTAAAAAAGACCCTGACGCAGCCCAAAAATGTTTATTGTTTTTTTTTATATATTTTAGACGATTTAATATAGTTTCAGTACGCTACTCAATCAATACTTTTCCGCAGAGCCACGTATATTTTTAATAAAGCCAAAAATCTCAACTGCTCGAAACGGAAATTGAAACACGATCACGGAGACTCACGGCCGAAATTCAAATGGCTACATCCGACCGAATTTTTTTCTTTTTTTTTTTTTTGTCTCCGCTTTACTGGCATGTGAAGCAGATGACAACGATAACCCGTTTTCGCGCACCATTTTTTAGTACGATTGTGTCGCCCTTCTGTCCCTTCCGCTCGATGCTATGCGCTTGAAGATCGATTGACGGGTACCACGAACGGCAGTTCCGAAGTAGAGGCCAACATCCGACGCAACGTTGGTCCGTGGTGCACCGCCATCGCGTCTTCCAGACCGCGGTACGTCCCCGTATTGAGAATGACGTGTACATGTACTCCCTGTGATCTTTGCCGCATTTTTTCCGAACATGTTTGAAGTTTTTAGAGGCCGCAAAAATGGGGTTCGTATTCATTTCCATTTTTAATTTTGAATGTGTGCCTCAGATGACACACGACTTTGAACATATTCGGTAAACATAGATCGAATAAAACGTGACCATAAAAAAATTAAAGATGTTTACAATTTTCTGTAACGCCGTATTAAAGCGCAGCTCTTGAGGAGGAGGACGGGAGGTCACGGAGGGGGGGAATGTCCCTCTTCCTTCCTCGCTAAATTTAGGGGGGAAATTTTTCAAAGGCGTGAAAATTGTACTCTTGTTACGTCACACCATCACACGTGAAGTCACGAGGGTAAATTTATCAGGAATATTTTTCCGCTAAATTTAGTGGAAAAATTTCCCCGCTAAATTTAGCGAGAATATTGGCAATGTGACTCGTGAGGGTAACCCTCGTAACCCTCATAAGGGTAACCCTCGCGACCCTTGTGAGGGCAACACTCGTGACCATCGCGAGAGTAACCCTCGTAATTCTTGTGAAAGTCACCCTCGTGACGTCACACGTGACGTCACGTGTGATGTCATTATCGGAAACGTCCCATAATGCAACGCGCGGCTACGCCGACGGCAACGGCGACGGCGACGTCGCTGAAGCCGGAAACGGGCGCCAGCGAGCGCGACTGAAACCGGCTGGTTCTCGACCGATTGTTTTCGAGCAGGAAGAAAACGAAGTTTGAGTTGCAGATTATTTTTCGGGTTGGTTAGAATCTTATAGGTCATGTTCAAAAACAAACCGCGGCGAGCAAAAATCCCCCGTCAGTGTCCCTTTACCAGATTACTGCACGATTTACATTTCTAGGTACAAGCATAAACAATGTTTGTGATTAGATTACAAACACAAAGTTAATTCATAGGAATGAATGATTGCGTACCATTGTTGACTATTGTTGACCAGCCCGTCCTAGGCTAAGGACGGGCTGGCAATATTCGTTTCCGCCCTCCCTCTCAAACCCCCTCTTTTCAGCTCTCTGGATAGGGTCTCCTCTACAGAGCTGCATGGTCCCCACACAGGTGGAACGGGTGATCTCGGGTCAGTACGTCCACCAGCGTATCAGCGGGTCGTGACCGGGGCCTGCATCCCGGCGGCCCTGGCGAGAAGAAAATGCTGGATAATACCAGCTGCACGCTTCAATAGGCGGACTTCTCCGCGGAGTTGGACGATTTGGCTGCTCCTGCGTCCGACTCGGAAAGCGTTGAGTGGCAGATGCAGACCCTTGTAACTAAGAACAAACACCTGATTACTGCACCGAAGTAGTCCATGGTGTCCCTCTCCTTAGTTTTAAGCTTTTTCACTACCACGTCCTATTGATCTACATTTCCCGCTGTAGACATCTTTTATGAATGGCAAAATTACATTTCTTGCAATGAAACTGTCACGGCCTTTTAAGAAATATAGATTATATAAATCATTTCATTACTGAGGTTCGGTCGATTGCTCTTTCTCTTTAAGAAACTAATCGCCAGGATCATTCTCGTATGTTAAGACGTCACGGTCTCTTTAGGAAAGACCGTCTTAGTGGCACTCCCTTGGTGGCGTGGAAGCGGTTGTACAGGATGTGGTTGCCTGCCCTGGGGTTCCACTCTGTACACCACTTCAAGTCGTGGCAGTGAGCTTTCTTTTAGACCACGTTATTCGGGCGTGGGGTTCAGATGGGATTCGGTCAAAGATAACCGTCCTTCATGGTCTTCAGTGGTTCAGACCGAGAAAGGGTTCACATTTGGTCGGTGCTGGTGGCCTTCATCAACGTTGTTTTGTACAACGTTGTCCATTTTGCCTTTATCTCACAAAAATTCGAAACTGGTTGCTTCTAGATGAGCGTTAGACTGTAAATCACAAGTTGGTCGGCAGAGCGCCGAAACAATATGTCTTACCCTGACGAGTAAGCACATACCTTGAGAAGACTTAATAAAATTTGAAAGGTTTCGAAGGCCTTTCCTGCCTGCCCACCCTCCCTGCCCTTCCTGAAAGGGCAAGGGATTTGGCGGGACCACTGGGTTTCGCTGACGACGTTGAAAGAAACGAGCAATAAAAGATTACATTCCCAAACAGGAGGTTTAAAAATTGTATTAAATGGTGAACAAAACGACGACGAAACGAAGAGGCTCGCGTCATATTTTTCTACATCTTTCAGCCACGGGAATCGCCATTAATGACATCATCAAGCAGTGGCGTCACTAGGATCAGCGGCACCCCGGGCGGTAACCCGCGGCGACACCCCCCCCCCCCCCCCCCCCCCCCCCTCCGCTCGTCGCCCGCCGCCCCCCTTGTGACCCCACTGCCCTCAAGTACGTCAGTCTTCTGTCGCTTTTCTCTACAAACCGGACCCTAAAATGATAATCGACGGGAAGTTTTGGAGGTCTAGGAAAACATAATAGTAACCACATTGGTGGAGTAGATGATTCAAAGAGAGACACAATTTGTAGCAGAAATCAAATCAGAAGGGTGTAAATGTTTCTTGGCTAGGTAGCGCAAACTGCCATCCGATACAAAAATTATAGCCAATATAGTCATGTGTTGTTAATTCTAACGCCGAAACAATATGGGCACCCCACTTTATTCGCTATGAGAAGCTCGCGAGGGCCATTCCCGTTTTCCTCACTTTGAGTAGTGCACTGGCTACCGACGCGGTTATGTTTTAATTTTTTAGTACAACGAAGCTTGGAATTGCACCTGCGGAGGAAGTTGAAGTAACTAAAATCTGGCTTATGAAAAACCTCCACGTGGCGGAGATATCCAAAATTTTAGCCGCGAATAGAAACCATTGTAAGGGACGAACCAACAACACCTCGACTTTTAAGCCTCTCCGCTCTTCCTACGACGTCACGCGAGTGGCCCGGCCGCTTGACATTTCCTCTATTTTTCAGTCGTTTGGCAATGGCGGCGGAGACTATGGTGTAGAGCACCTCGTCATATTTGTTTTTCAGTTTCAAGTAATCTCAGACCGAAACATTCATTTCAGCGAGCTGTCAAAATTCCAGGTTGTAGCGAAAAAAAAATAGAAAAAGAAAGGAGCAGACGAAACGGGGAGAGAAATGCCCCGGAATAAAAGACGAGAACGCGGTGAAAATAAAGAGGGGACTGAGAAGATGGGGGAAGCGAGGGGGGGGGACACATAGGTGGTCACGTGATCCATGTTGTCACGTGACTGCGCCCTGACGACATGCTCTCATTGTTGTCTTCAGGTGACGCCGCGACCGGGCTAACCGCGAGTCCGCGACACAATTGCAAGTTTTTTTACTGCTCCCTAGATGGCGCTACGCCACAAGCAGAAACGTACTTTCATTCTGGTGCTCTAGATGGCGCTGCACACCTACGCGCGCGCAGTTCCTATGCTGGGCTGTTTCGAGAACTTGCGTCCCGCCCCCCTCTCTCCCCCGTTCCCTTAGAAAGCAACAGGGCGTCCGGCGTCTGCAACTCGCAGACAGTCATGTGCGTCGACGGTGGCGGCGACAATGTGGAGTATCGCCTGCATCTCCGCCATCCTCTGGAGTCTCGGCAGCGGCCTGGGTGAGTGGCTCCCCTCTTCTCTTCCGAGTTCCAAGTCGCCAACCGAAGGTATTTCGGAAGATCCGCGCTCCTAACAGACGTCGGAGAAGTCTCTGGGGCAACTCTCTGCGCTCCTCGGCCCTCTGCTGCAACTTCTCCCGCTGGATAAAAAAAGAAACCCGAGATGAGTTTTGGATACAACAAGTAGCAGCTCTGCCGCTTTTAAAAATTACCTCTCTTTTTTTTCCCTTTTTTTAAGTGTGAGATATTGTAAGTTGCAATCAAAAATTAATTACGTGCGTGCAGGAAAAGTTCCGCGTGCAGATTATAATCCTAACTTTTTTTTTTTTGCATGTTCTACATAAAGTTTGTACTGTCACTGTCTTTTAAGAGGTATCGCGTTCATTTCTTGTGTCAGGTGTGGGTTTCCATAAAATTTAACCAAACAATAATTATTTCTCTTTGTTTATTTCAAAATACTACACTCTCCATTTGTAGGAGTGGATAGAAAAAAAAAGCAGACCTGTCCAACACCCGAAAAGGTCCTTTAGATTCTGCAAAGACACAGAATTACAGAAACCGAATCAGGCGGAAACCGGAATAGGGTATCGCGCGGGTTATGACATCAAGTACTATTTTATTGTTTTTAGATGCTGTGCATTTTATGCACAGCTCTACATTATATACGTAGCCATCAACTAAGAACTTTCACAAAGCAATTCGTTCATTCAAGATGTGCACTTAAATTTCGCCAGTATTGCATGCGCTCTTGTTGAAGCTGATACCCTGAGTAGTGTTTAATTACAACCAACGTCCTTATCGGCAACTTTCTTTAAGATTTCCAACTCTACGTTTAGGGATTGTTGCCGAATTTACAAGCTCATATATATATGTATACCCCGCGTGTGTAAATGCAGCCAGGTCCTGTGCATTTGATATGTTTTATTGATTGTTAGCCGCCCGACTTACTACATTTCTGAAACGTTACAACATAATCAAATGACGTTGTCACAGTTTGCTGCCATTCATCCACTTTTTCACGATACCAACTTTGTAAAATATTCATATCATAGTCACTTTTTATGATCCGCAACCAAATACGTTTTGCTCTGAAGATTATAAGATTTTTCGGTCACACATTACTAAACAACACACTAATGGCATCATTCTATTTTCAATTAATTAGGTGCTGTGAAGTTCGCCGATCGTTTTCATTTAGCTTCGTTCATTCATACACGTTTAACTAAAATCGAACTTGAATCTGTGGTATCTAATTTTTTTGCTGTCAGATATTTTGCTACGTGTTTTTCAGCTAGAAACTAAACGAAACCTAGGTCTTCTTGGTGAAGCCTTAGCATTTTATCATCCTACATGATACAGACCAAATAATTCATGCTTAATATCTAGCTGGTCAGTGTTGCCAGATTGGGCTATATATAGCCAAATTGGGCTACATCTTTTTCTAGTTGGCGTCAAAATTTCGTGGTTGGCTATGTGGCTATTTTGGGCTATTTCTAAGAATGCAGCGAACTTTTGTCGCACCTCAGGTTCGACGCCGAACTTTGAGGTTCGGCTAGTTAATTTTCGAACTTTTAATCAGTTTCGAAACAAAAAAAGGTTTCTCTTTTGGCTAGTCGAGAGGAGGGGGAGGAAGGAGGAAGGCTTCAAACTTCTACAAACGTTGGGGTTTTCACATTACGCGGTGAAGCAATGCTTGCAGAGTTCAAGCGGTCTCCCTACAGTGCAGTGGAGCAAACCAAACAGATTGTACTATTAACACAGGAACGGTAGCGCGCCTTCAACCCGGACACATATGGCTCCGCCCGGACGTAGACTGAACTCTCCAAATGCTGCTTTGGTGCCCATTGTGATAATTCTTAGGCACCCAGGTTTGTAAAAATGAGAAGTCCACAGTTTCACCGCTAAACAATTGACTACCTTCCAGTCGTTGCCCACCCCAAGAAAGGACAACACAATCAGAAATAACGTGAACATGAATGGGTGACACTAATATTCTTCACAAAGAAAAAGAGACGGAGGGATATTAGTAAGGACTTGAGATATTGAAGTTCTGGTTTGAAACACCCAGTGTTATGACTGGTCTGCTTCTGTATTTTGTTCTTTCATTGTATGATCATATCTCCCGGTCTTCACAATAAAGCTGTCTTTGTGTTTTGTACTTTTGAAAAACCTACGAGGGAAGGCCAGTTTTGTACGGATATTCATCCTTTCGAAGCTTTTCTTGAAGAATTCACAAGTAAGATAATGTGCACAAAGGTGATGCACAAAGGTGAGGTGACAAAAAAAAAAACGATTTTTTTTTTTTTTTTTGCAGTCAGTGGCGCGTACATTAGCTAATTGAATAAGTTGTACCACATGGCTACCAAGCCTCTCGTGAAAGTTAGTACCATCAGATCAACGTCAGTACGCTGTACGTCAAACTGAAGTTTTGGGGTGTATTACACATTTTTGCACATTTTTATTACACATATGCATATTTTTTCTGAGATGCAGATTTGTGTAAAGCTTACTCGACTTTGAACTATAACCAGGAAGAGATAAATATTGATTTTGGAAACAGCTAAAAACTTTGACAGAACGCAAAATTAAAAAAAAAGAAATAGACGAAGACACCGGTGCAATTTCGTCCCTCTGTTTTTTTTTTCGTTTTTTTTTTTTTTGTTTACGTTCAGGAAACAAGATCTTGCCATAAAATGGACTAATACCGATTCTACATTTCCAAGACGTTTCATTTCTCCAAATAAAGTTGCAGTGCTATTTCCCCACTATTGTCCCTTTTAGCTGCAGATGATACGGCTACAGGAAACAATTGTAATTGCTATTGGCGACTCCAGCGAACTATAGGGCTTCGCGCTGGTCAGGCAAAATGACGTACAAGAGGGAGGTCGGTTTGTCATTCAGCACGCGAAACACCTTGATTTCTGGCGTTGCATCGTACAATCAGCGTTACGGATGAAAGCAAAAACCTCTTTGTCAGTGCGTAAGAGTGGCGCTGCGGACGTATAAAAATAACTACTGAAAACTATGCATTTTGTCCTTCGCCCACTCGATTCGCGCATGTGGCGGAAGCTAGACCTCTAGTACATTTTTGGCGGAGAACGATGTTGTAAATACCCATGCCTCTTCAAAAGGTGACAAGATATTGTAAGACAGATAACTGTCGCCCTTTGGAAGGTCGTCAAGGTGCGGAGAGGGTTCCCAATGGGTTTGTCTAATGGGCTTCGAACGTCGTCCTCGGATTCAAGTTTGAAGAAAACAATCAATTACCTCAATAAGTCCATAAACTTTTGTAGCCTAGTACAAGTGACTTCTGAGTTAAAACTACATGTGACCGCCGTCACCAACTTACCCCCCCCCCCCCCCCCCCCCCATCCCCTAACTAAGAAAGGAAAAGTAATTACGTTTTATATTAATGCTTCGTTTGAGATAGAGGAGGGGGTCGGGGCGTTAGGCTCGTTGCGATCAGGTCGTCGTGCCCCGGTTGCTTCTATAGGGAATCTTCAAACATGGATAGAGTTTACCGTACGGTGTAATACACGGTCGTCAGCGGAACGTCGAAACTTAGTGGACATAAAGCACGGCAAATCATTAGTCCACATTTAAAAAAAAAAAAAATGTTTGCCAGCGAAGATGCTGGAAAACATCAGACTTAGTACCACTTCCCGCACTCATACAGTGCAAAGGTGGAGGCGTCAGGAAATGTAGAGTTTCTCAGTACAAGGTGTTCTCTTTCACCCCTTAGAGATGCTTCTTCCAATACCGTGTTGCAAAGAACTCTATTGCGGGCGCTATTTCTTTGTACAACTTGAGCAGCCGTGACCACACTCTAAAAAATAGGGGGTGTGCAGGGGTACATCCTTTGTCCTAAAACACAAAGGTATTTTGACACCCTAGATATCCACGGGATGCCGAGCCCAGCCAGGCACCCGCAGAATTATCCGTGTTCATTTCTGAGCCGGACGCGACGCGAAAGTTGAATATGTGCTGCACAACCGCTTGCAGCTGTGTGACCGACGAGCGCACCACTGCTAGATCGTTTGCATACGCCAAACCTTTGACCGAGCCTGACTACAAGTTCGGTCCTCTAGTGTTGGCATCATTGATGATAGTCCTTTAGAGGGGCTCGAGGTGGAGCGCGAACAGGATCGGCATTTTAGGGCAGCCTTTGCTCACCGATGGGCTCGCAACAATGGGAGCTGTCTTGTTCCCGTTCACGAGCAGACCCGTTGAGATGTCACCGCAGGAGCCACCGAGGCTGCTTTACTCCAGTCCGTGGTTCTCACTACAAGTTTCGCTTCGGAACATGCTTTGCGTGATGGCGTTGTTTTTCAATTCGCGAATGAGGGGAAACGGCACACCATTAAGTTCTCACATCCTGTTCCATCCCTCATTTTGGTGCGGCATCGATAAACCGCGATTATTTAGTTGGCCTTAATCAACGTGCGCGCAAAACTACTCTCCCTTCGAGAACCAATCATCCAAAGCAGACGACAGAGGCTAAACAACCATGTCTCGGAGACCCTCAGCATTGCCGCTTCGCGGCTTTGATTTTGCTCAAGATGTCATAGCTGTCAAAGATTTAAAACGTTAAAAAAAATGTAATGACTCATATTTTCTAAATATGCTTCTTATTCTTTATTATGTTAGCGCGACATACATAGATGAGAAAAAATCAACATCCAGTAGCAGAAACCGTATATATGGTCAGAAACGGAAACGTGCTAATCAGCTGAGAAGGGGCGCAGTCTTCATGGTAAATGGTATAACCTATTTGAACAGTAAGTCGGTCGTACTCGACCTATATTTACTCCAACTTCGATATAATTTACTGGTCCCTGCGATGGTTCAAAAGGCGTGACCATTCTCCCGACGCAGAGGCTGGAGGGAACACCAGATAAAAGTCGAATTTTACTCGATGTCACGTTAAGTCCGAACGGGACCAGCACTACGCCTCTATGGACCCAATCAAGCTTAAAAGTACTTCCTCATGGCGCCCATCG